AAAAATCAGGACAAATCTAACCCGGCCAATTACTGCCCCATTAGTCTCCTCTCGATCATCAGTAAAGTGATGGAAGGTGTCAGTAAAAGTGCTATCAAACAGCACCTGCTCAGCAATAACCTGCTCAGTGACGCCCAGTTTGGGTTCCGCCAGGGCCACTCAGCTCCTGACCTCATTACAGCCTTGGTTCAAACATGGACAAAAGAGCTGAATTCCAGAGGTGTGGTGAGAGTACAGCCCTGACGTAGGATCATCGAATCATACAGTATGAACGAGATCCTTTGGCCCATTGAGGCTGTACCACCAAAAAACACACTAAATCTACACTGGTCTGACTTTCCCGCACTAGGCCCACAGCCTTAAATGTTATGACACATCAAGTGCTCATCCAAGTCCTTTTTAAAGGTTGTGAATTTTCCAGCCTCAACTACCCTCCCAGGCAGTGTATTCCACATCTCTTTCTGGATAAAATTATTTTCCTCAAATTCCCCTCTGGCCTTTCACCTTAAAATGGCGTCCCTTCATTATTGACTCTTTGACTAAGAGAAACAGCCGCTTTCTCTCCAACCTTGTCCATGCCCATCAGAACCGTACACACTTCTGTCAGGTTTCCCCCTCTACCTTCTCTGCTCCAAAGAAAACAACCTGAGCTTCTCAAGTCTCTCTTCATTGCTAAACCGTTGTATTCCAGGCAACATCCTAATCAAACTCCTTTGCATCCCCTTCAGTACAATCCCATCCTTCCGACAGTGTGGTGACCAGGACTGTATTTCCAAGCTAATATGAACCCTCTCTCATTCTGCAACACAGTCGTTTGGACACAATGACACCGGGAACAAGTCAGAAACTGGGAGTGGAGATCCATACGAACTCCACCCCTCCCTTGTTGGCTCCTCTCCGAGCCCCTTGCCATCCCCGTCTTGGAAATATATCGGCCGTTCCTTCAGTGTCTCTGGGTCAAAATCCGAGAATCTCTAAAAGCACACCGTGTGCGTTTGTGTGTGTGTGGCGGGGGTCGGGGGTTACGGGGGGGGGGACGTTTGGATTGGGCCAGGGTCCCTACATAGCACGGGGACTGCGGTGGTTGAAAATACCTTCTCAAGGGTGCAGTTGGGGTGAACGGGGGCGATAAATGCTGGGACCTGCCCAGCAAAGCCCCATTGCATGAAGGAAATACAAGATGAAAGTCATTCCCAGATCCTGTGCATTGTTGGTCCGTTGGTCGCCATTGCGAAACCAAATGGTATTGGTGTTAGCGCGGAACTGGGGTTGGCTGTGGTTCTTCAGGCAAACTCTTCATGGCCACTCCAATCAATGGAGTCGACCTTCCGGTGGTCCGTCGGACGATTTGATTTGCTATACGTGCCAAGATTTTGTCCTTATGTTTCCCCCCAACCCTCTCTTCTTTTGGCAGCTGTTTGATCACATCATCCACTGCATCTCGGATTTCCTGGATGACATGGGGAGAAAGCAATGCGTTCTGCCACTGGGCTTCACCTTTTCCTTTCCTTGCGAGCAGCGGGGCCTCGATCAGGTCAGTTCTGCCACCCGCTCGAGACTTGTCCTCTAGGCCCGAGGCCTACCCAGCTCGGTGACTCGTTGTTTGCCTGAAGTCGCAGGCCGCGCCATCCAATCTTCGTAGGAGAAGTTCAATTTTGGGCGCCAGCCGATCGCTGTGAAAGCTTCCTCTTCCTTCGCGGGGTGCTGGCATGGGATTGAAGTGTGGAAAGGCCTCCGTGCAGCTACACAACCCCCTCAACTCCCTTTGCAGAACTTCTTTGGTCACCCTCTGCCTCACTGGAGCTCAGAAATCGGCAGGCCTCTGAGGGGAGATGGGACCGCTTGGAGGCAAGGGGTTGGAAAAGGGTTTGCATTTCCGGTGTGTGTTGCCCTGGCCGTGAACGGCCATGGGTTGTGTCGGCCATGCTGGGCACCTTTGGCGAGGGTCTTATTCCTGACTCACCACCCTCCCTCAGCCTGATACGTTGGGGTATGCAAATCTCTTCTCCTTCATTGAGGGGCGGATCCAGATGGCAAGGTGGGCTGAAGAGGGCGAGCGTGTCATGCCAGGTAGTGCCACACCCCACAATACCCCTGGATTTCCGGCCATGCGACCATAAATCTCTTCCCCCTCCTTCCCCAGGCCATCCTTTTGAAGTGGGCGAAAGGATTCAAAGCGACAGGTTGCGAGGGCAAAGACATTGTCGATCTCCTCCGAGAAGCCATCAAGAGGAGAGAGGTACGTGCTCACCGGTGCCCCCTGCCACAGATTCGCTCCACATTACAGTGAGTTGGAATGGGCGGAGGCTGTTCAGGAACGTGCCACCCTGCCCCCAGTCTATTCCCACCATCCAGATCCAGTAATGCTCGGCTGTGCCAAGATGCCATTCAGCAGCTCCTCCTGCCCCTTTACCCTTAAAGCCCTTCCTGTTCCCACCTCTGAATTGAATTATTCCTTCAGTTTTTATCTCTTTCTTTCTTTTGCTTTCTGTTTCTTTCTTTCTCTCGTTCTCCCTCTTTCCCTTCCTCCTTTTGTCTCTTTCTCTCTTATTTTCTCCCATTCCTCTGTGTTTTGCTTCTCCTCTCCCTCGCTCCCCCCTCTCACACTCTCTCTTACTCCCTGCCTCTCCATCCATCCCTCTCTACCTCTCTCACTCCCTCTCTCTGCACCCTTTTCTGTCTCTCCCTTCCCCGTCACTCTCTCCATCTCAGTTTCTCCCCATTTCTCTCCCCGCCTCTCTTTCACACATTCTTGCCTGTCCCTCTCTCTCCATTCCCCATCTCTTGCTCTCTTTTCATTGTTCTGTATCTCCATCCCTGTTTCTCTCACCCCTTTCTCTCCCTCCATTTCTCTCACCTTCTCTCTCTCTCTCTCACACACCCTTGTTCCATGTCTCCATCTCTCCCAATCCTCCCTTTCACTCTCTCTCCTCCTCCCTCTCTTCATTCCTCTCTCTTACCGTCCTTCTATCCCTCTCCCTCCCTTTCTCATCCCTTCCCTCCCTCTTATCCTTGTCTTATTTCTCTCTCTCTTTCCCATTCTCTCTCTCCACCAATGTCACACCTTCTCTCTTTCTGTCCAACCTCCCAAAACCAGCTGCAGTCCTCAGCCAGGGACTCCACGCAGTTGTCCTGACAATTTTACCTGTTTGCTTCCCAGGAAATTCCTGGGATGTCTACGTTGCACCTGCTCTGACGGCAGCAAGCTGAGAGAGAGCTGACATTTTAAACTGTGGCCTGGTTTGCAATGCTCTGAACTGAATGGAAGTTCTCCAGTGACTCTCCTTCAATGAGTTGGATACCAGTCATGTTCAATACTGTGTTCATCCACTCCCCCACGAACCGTGTCCAGATAAATTTCCCTTTCACTGTTGTAATGACTTTCCCGATCTCTGTTTGCTTCCTTACAGACAAGCATGGAGCCAGCCCTTCCTGACCTGCCCTGCCATTCAATCTGATCGTGGGTTTTTCATCTAACTCTGTCCCTTGTTCTCCGCTTTCTCCCTTTTGCCCCAAGAGCTACAGTTACCTCCTTCTTGAAAACACTCAAATGTTTTGCTCCCAACCGCTTTCTGTGACAGCGAATCCCACGCGGTCCCCCCCACTCTCTGGGTGAAGACATTTCTCCTCAGCTCTGTCCTACCCCGTATCCTTAGACTGTGACCCCTTGGTTCTGGACTCCCCCCACTGCCAAACACCCCTTCTCCCGCCCCCCGTCATCAGGAACATCCTTCCTGTGTTCACCCTGTCTAGTCCCTGGTGGAATGTGATCGGTTTTTATGAGATTCCCTCCCCTCATTCTTCTAAACTCCAGTGAATATAATCCTAACCCGATCCAGTTTCCCTTCATCCGTCAGTCCGTGCCATGCCAGGAATCAGTCACTGGACACCGTCCATCGCCAGAACCCACTCCCCTCAGATAAGGAGACCCCAAACCTCCCACACACAATACTCCAGGGGACGGTCTCTCCCTGTCCAATTGCAGTGAGACATCCCTGCTCCTGTACTCCAATCCTCTCGCCATGAAGGGGCCAACATCCCACTGGCCTTCCTCATCCCACCCACCCCCTCCACCACTGCTCCTGCGAGGGTGACTCTCAGCGATTGGTGTAGGAGGGGACACCCAGGTCTCGTTGCACCTCTCCAATCTTTTTCCAATCGATTCCTGAAGGAAGCATTCGCTGCTGTCCCCGTTAATTCCCTGACCCACCGTTCTCGGGGATTGGGAGTGACATTTAGCAGGGGTGGTCTTGCTAATCCGTTCTCCCTCTCCCGTACTTTTGCAGGAATTTGACGTGGATGCGGTGGCGATTGTCAACGACACTGTTGGAACCATGATGTCTTGCGGATATGATGACCCTTTCTGCGAGGTCGGCCTCATTGTGGGTGAGCACTCGTGTGACAAGGCATCTCTGCCTTGGAACCCTGCCTCAAGGCTGCAGGGACCCTTTGCTATCGAACACTTTTGCTTTCATGTTCCCTCGGCTCAAACACTTTTGGGCCTTCAACGTTGAGGTTGTACAGGACATCGTCTGGAGTTCCATGTCTCGTTCTGGGTTCCCCTGCGATAGGAAGGACGTTATTAAGTTGGAAGATTTACCAGGATGTTGCTGGGTGTGGAGGGTTTGAGTTATACAGAGAGGCTGAATAAGCAGTGACCTTTTTCGCTGGAGCATAGGAGGTTGAGTGGTGACCCTACAGGGGTTTATCAAATCATGAGGGGCACAGGTAAGTTGCATGGCAGGTTTCTGCTCCCTAGGGTGGGGGATTTCGAGTTGAGATAGAAAGATTTAAAAAAAGACACGAGGGATAAACTGTTTTACACAAAGAGGAAGTGGTGGGTGCGGGTACAGTTACAACTTTTAAAATACTTTTATATAAGTGTATGAATTGGAAACGTTTGGATGGATATGGGCCAGGAGCAGACAGGTGCGACTAGTCTAGTTTGGGATTATGATTGGCATGGACTGGTTGGGCCAAAGGGTCTACTGCTCTATTAAACCATTACGCAGATGCGGAGAGAATGCATCAGAAAGTACCCTTTGCTTTAATCACAGAGTCACAATCAATCATTAACCAGAGATTTGGTGGTTCAGCAGGTTTTGGCGTTTCAAACAGTAAAGCGCATTAGAAATCAAGAAGTAGACATGGCAGCAACCGGTCGATTTGGGGGCAGGCAACTTGTAACCAGGCTGCCAGGTGGAGCTGCAACTTTGTATACCTGCTTGAAGCAAGAAATGTGGGTTATAATCGGAACGGTGATCGCTTGGGGAAAAGGGGAGGTGCAGGGAGACCTGGCTGTCCTTCATACACCAGTAGCTGAAAGTCAGCATTGCAAGTGCAGCAGACGGTGAAGAAGGCAAATGCTTGACTTAGATTGGCCGTGGCACCGCCCTGAATAATGCACGCATGGGCAATCATGCCAGTGCTCCTATGGAAGTGGCATGCCTCTCGTTGGCAGAGAATTGCCTAAAAATATACGCAGCTTACAGCAAGCACAAGTGAGCTGCATTGGGTGCCCAACTGGTCAAGTTGAGTAATTTGCCAGTGTCATGCTTGGCGCACTTGGCATTGTTCAGTAAGTGCCGTCCAATTGCAAGTTCAGGTGTACTGATGGGTGCTGTGATCTGAGATTTGCCAGCCTGGTCTCTTCAGTATCGCCAGTCCCCTGCCAGTTATGAGCAGCGAAAGAACAAGCTGTTCGATGTGATTGAGACATTTGTATTTGGCATCACACTGGCCCTCAGTTCCAACTTTCCACCCTCATGGCCCCTACCTCTCTCCCCGATTTGAATGTGGGTGCACTTCAACAACACGGCAACATCACAGATTCACAGTCACCTCAGACTCATCTCCCCTTTTTTAAATGCAATTCTAGCTTAAATTTGGGTTTGGACTGGCCAACGTATCTCGGATCTGTTCCTTACTTGCTTCAGAATTTCAAATGTCCTGACTTTGGTGAGTGGCTCCAGTGCAGTTTGTAGACAGTACACACTGCTGCTACTGAGCATCGTTGGTGGAGGGAGTGGTGGTTATGGATGTGAGCCCAATCAAATTTTATCGTAGAAGATGCCAAGTTTCCTGAGTGTTGTTGGAGCTGCCCCCTATCCAGGGTGAGTGGGGAGTATTCCGTCACACTCCTGACTTGTGCCTTGTCGGTGGTGGGACAGGCTTCGGGAGGGTGAGTTACTCGCTGCAGGATTCCCAGGCTCCGACCTCCCGCTGTATTAAACAGCCTTTGCATTTCAGTATCTGGTCGACGGCGACCCGAAGCATCCTGTGTTCCAAAGCACGTTGCTTTGCCTTGAGTTGTGGTTTTTTTTTCGACCCCGTTCTGCAGGGACAGGTTGCAACGCATGCTACATGGAAGAGATGAAGAATGTGGAGGTGGTCGAAGGCGAGGAAGGGAGGATGTGCATTAACACAGAATGGGGCGCCTTTGGCGAAAACGGCTGCCTGGACGACATCCGAACCGAATTCGACCGGGAAGTGGATCGGCTTTCGATGAATCCGGGCAACCTGACGTAAGGAAGTACAGTTCTCAAATCCCGAGGCATCGCTTCGGGAAATGAGCAAAACCCTTTGGAATTGTAGGATGATTTGTCTGTTACCTAAAGACGCTGTCACAATGTTGCACTCAGTTCATATTTAACCCACAGCTGAATTAATGTCCGGAAGTGCTGAGACGGGGCAGATGTGGGAAGGGCGGGGCTAGTCTGGAATCAGGGAGTGGTCTCAGTCTCGGCTACCCAGAAGCACTTGTATAATCTGCCTTCAAAGCACACAGCAGTTCGGTACACGTGACAGTATTCAAATCCAATCAAAAATAGAAGACGATGAGATGTTCAGCAAATTTGCAGCGGGTGCCAAGATTGGTAAAATTAGAATTAGGAGAGAATTTGAATTAGGTTCGTTGTCACATGCGTTCAAGTTACAAAGGAACAGGAGTACAGTGAAAAGTTGTCGAGTGGATAAAAGTGAAGAAGGTTTCATGAGCATACAGATGGTCGGAAGGGCAGACAGTATTTAATCCTGATAAATGCAAGGCGATGCACTGAAACAACAAGAATACTTAACAAATGGCAGGACACGGGTAGCTCGGAGGAACAGA